TTGCCGTTGCCTCCCCTGCCTCCCTGCTCACTTTGCTGGCTTCCCCTTGCCTCGGAGCGAGGGGGCACGGGGGGTTGGCTCCCTGATCCTTCCGGTCTTTCTCCGGAATTGCTAGGGGGGTTCTGTGGAGGTTGGGGGGGTACTACGCCTCCGCCTCCTGAGCCTTCTGGGGCTGCTGCCGTTCTATTGGCTGCCACCCGCATTTGCTCGATTATCTCCTCCAGGTTCTTCTTCGTGCCTGCGAACTGATCTTCCATCGCAGCTTGTCTGTCCCGTTCCATCCTCTCGAGGGCAGCCATAACCTCCGCGGGTATCTGTACAGGGCCATCTTTGGGGAGTTGCTGAACGAAGTTGGTCAGCGCATTTATGTGCTGATCCTGTCGCTCCTGCCTTTCCTGATGCGCCCTAGTAGCTTCCACGATCTGCCCAAGGACTTGACCGAGGTTGCTGGTAGCGGCGGTGGATTCCGCTCGTAGCTGAGCCATGACCTGGTTGAGCTGATTGTCGCGCTCGGCTCTGTCCCCAGCGAACTTGGCGTGGAGGTCCTCGACGATCTTGTTGGTGTACTCCTGCTGCTGACGGGTGAGTTCCCTGAGGATGGGAATATCCCGCACGTGCATGCTGAGTTCCTCGATCCCGCGGCTGAGCTGTTGTACCACGGGGGCCCCTTGTCGCTGGACTTCTTGCCCAATAAGATCGCCAAAAGGGTTCTCCACCCGCCGTTCCTCTACGTCCATGTTGGTATCCTCGTCGTCGTCCATTACCCGAGGCACCGAGGGCCTCTGAGTAGAGGATCTTTCTCTGATTGGGGTGACGTATGGGGAGAATTCCCGGTGGTCTACCTGCCGCCTCCTCGCCTGCCCATAGGATTCTTCCTGCCTCGTCGATGCGAAGAGGGAGCCTATCGGCACATCTCTCTCTTTCCTGTGGCGCCTCTTCGCCTGGGTTTCCAATATACCTCGATCTCTCAAGGCGATTGACCTCTCCATGTTGTAGTCTTCCTCCGACCGTTGCTGATGAGCCCTTGACATTGCTAAGTTGCTCGAGTTTGAGCTGTGGATGCCTTCTGCACCAGGGTTGGGCAATGAACCAGGGGGCTGGATGAGCAAGTCCGAAAGATCGTTGGGAGAGAGTGATCTTGATTGGGAAGAGTTCTGGGTAGTTGAGGATTTCGGGGTCGTGTTCCTCGAAAGTAGCGGTAGTTCCTGCTTCTGCGAAAAAACCTGTGTAGTGAAGATATCCGCAGTATAGATGTTCGGCGCTTCCTCTTCGAACGATGAAGGATGTAGCGCAAAGGTAGTTATCGATGGCTGCTGTTGCCACTCGGGGGTGCATATAGTACCTTGGTCTTTTCTAATAGACTAAGCGCTTATTCTTCTACCGAGAGCACGGTGACTATCCGCCACTAAGCAAAATACTCAGAGTATTGGTTTAAGCGAGTAGTTGTCTTATCGAGACTTTGGTAGTGTATGCGATAGGTAAAGAGTAAAGTTAGGGATAAGGTACAATATAGTGTTTAATTCCTATAAGCCATACATTTGAAAAAATTACCGCCGATTACAACAGTAACTATGTAAAGCGTACTTAAGAAATAAAATCTGGCTTTGCTCTTCAAGTATTTCAAGGATCTCTAGTGTTTCCAATAGCGTAGAGTAGGTAGTAAATACCTCGCTAAGAAACCCGCCAGGTCCAACTTGCAACTCATCAAACGGATGTTACTCAGAAATCGGCGGTCTCTACAGGTCTTAGCGAGTCGCTGTTCTGTAGTCCCCTATTCCTTTCGGATTCCTGACTTGATGGTTGATGATACCCTCAAGTCTTCGCAGAATCGAGCCCTATTTATACATGTTGGAACCTATGCCAAGGCCCGCTTTCTAATACTAACTGATACAACGATAATAGAATAAGATAACGCTCCCGAAGATAACCCAGATAGAAAAGCGCCCCCGCATAGTTCCGTCCTCCATTCTAATTCCGACACGTAACCATGAACCTTGCAATTGCCAGTCATCGGGTTGTACCATACTATTATCCTAGACCTACTTCCCTAAGTAGAACAGCCTACAGCCGTAAGCCCCACTTCCTATTCTATTCCGGGTGAGGCACCCAACAGTAAGTGTGCCGTCATAATAGTATAACACTAGTGTGGTAACACCGCGTGCTCCCACACTACCCGATACCTTTCTATGCTTGTCCTTTCGTTACCCGACCGTCCTTGCATCACAACCCGTCACTCGTATTCCTCATTGTCCTAAGCCTCTTAGAACAGTGCTCCGTAGTTCCCGTAACAGTGCCAGACGATACATTCCCGCGCCCGACGCCTCCTGAGCACTATTTTCCCTCTCTGGCAGCACCAGGGCGCATAATCGTCTATATACTCCGCCAGGGACTCGCTCCAAGCAGAGCACTCGCTTCATGCAGAGCACTTGCCACAAGCAGAGCCCTCCAACAAAGCAATCGCTCCTAGCAGAGCACTCGCCCAAGCAGAGCACTCGCTCCAAACAGAGCACTCGCTCCAAGCAGTACCGGAGAGTCCTCCTAATGAGCTTTTTTTTTACGCTCGCTAATGCTGCTGTCCACAGAGTGCTCCTAGCGATATCACCTACATCTCCAGAGCACCCAGCAATGCTCTCTCCACGATCTTCTCTAGGCGCATTGCGCACCTTCACGCATCAGGAACGTCCAGGCAATGTGGTGCACGTCCTAAGAGCACCCGGCAATGCTCTCCCCGCCATGACATGCCCGGGGTATGCCTCCTACGTCTGGATAACGATCAACGAATGAGTCTCCGCCCAGTGACTGGCAATGAATCACGGACGCGTCGGGGGTCGCCAGGAGACAGCGTCAGCGCCCTGACAGCACTCATCAGTGCTATCTGCGCCAGGAGAGCATTCTCACCGAGCTGCTCGCCAGACACCGCCGGAGCATATCGCTCACGCCAAGACAGTCTTCGTCAACATGGTTTTCCAGGCACTGCTAAGCCCACGTCTGGAGAGCACTGACCAATGCTCGTAGAGCTACCAAAACATCTTTGATAATACTATTCAAGGTGGGACATCCCCTACTTAGACCCATATGAATCGATACGCTTTCTTCAAAGGCAAGGTAGGCATCGCCATTCTCTCAAACAATATCTCACGTGGGTATTCTTCACGCCGCTGAACGGTCAGTCGCGGAATACTGATACGAGCACTGTCGTGTATACTGGAGATGGCTACCAAACCTTTGATGAACGTGTATGTATCTGTTGATTCGTGAAAGGCATAAGCCTTGAGGTTGAGGCCATGGTACGGCTCGTCTGAAAAGCTCAATGTCCATGCCTAATCAGCAACATGGAATGGAAAAAGGTGCAGGATGACTTTACTGGTCGGAAGACCAATGCCTGCCTACCGCGTCCTCCTGGGGCGAGCTTGCAGGATAGCCAGACTCAGATACTGAGCGGCCGAAACTTACCTCCCTCTTCCAATCCGCATGCTTAGCAGAACGACACGAATTTTGAATTAGAGGGTCCAATTGGGTCTAACATTCCACTCGTAGAGCACTCGCCACTGCCCTCAGAGCATTCACTGAATAGCACCCGGTATTCCTCTCATATCACTGGATAGCACTCGGTAATCCTCTCATATCACTGCATAGCACTCGGGAATGCTTTACAGCATTCAACTGAATTCATTCCACGTACGCAAATCTATCCTAGTATTTACCAGCCAATTGCCAGCATCCACCTCGAACAAATGGGCCATTCCTAATATACTCCGAATATTCACGACCCACATCCTCTTCCTCCTCCTCCTACAGACTTTCAGCAGCCCATGTGAGCTATCAGCGATACCACGATCCTTCGCCTCAAGCAGCTCAACTACACATAGTCTATGTGCGCGCCCTGTGCTATCCCGTACCTTGAACAGAGCCTCCACTCGTCCTGGTAAGCGTCCCCGAAACACTCCCCACTGCTCTGAGGAACCTACCGATACCCATGCCCAATCCTTTCTTATTTTCCCCTTCCTAAAAGATAATGTTCCTGTACACCTGATGTTGTGAACCTCGTATACGTCAGGTCTTTGGAATATTGGTATCGGAACTTGCAAGCATGTGAAAACCTCCACTCGACGCTCCAAAATGCTCTCAGAGCTTCTGGCAAAGCTCTGAGAGCATCCCGCATCCTCAGTATACTCCTTTATCAGGCGATACAGCGTGATATGGCTCATTTGCAGTCTATCTGCCACGTTGAAAAGTCTTTCCGATTTCGAGGAGGGATTGCAAAGACGCTTCAGGGGCAGTCCGCTTTCTACTATTGAGCGTTCATTCGGCGTTTTCCTGCGGTCCTCGATTTTGAAAATGTCGAGCAACTCCTTGAGGTTATCCCGATGGCTCCAGAGGATGTCGTCAGTGCTCTCAGGACCTCCGACGATATCTTTCAGATTTAGAATTCGGATCTCTAACGCCAATCGCCTTCCTCCATAGTCCAGTATCTGCATCGCAGCATCAACCTTATTGGACGCTCTGTAACCTTCTTTTACTTGCCGTACATGGGCAAGCTCACTGACGTCCATGGAGTATTGAGGAATGCTCCCAAAGCGCTCAACGTGCTCCCGGTAGTGCATAAAGATGTGCAATTTGATGAAGTTGAAGTGCGATCTTTCCCGAATCTCCCGGATCTCCTCCAAGCCTCGTTGGGTGCTCTGGGAGCGTTGCTGGGTGCTCTGGGAGGTAGTTACTGCTTTCGTTCGATCTCTCGCATCCTTTAACGTCTTCTTGTACGCCCTGAATTCTAAAAAGATATCCTTGTGTTTATGGAAATCCTCGAGATAGTTCTCCATATAGTTCAGCGTGCTCGTTGTATGACTCCCATATTGCGCCATTAAGTGGAAGTCTATTAGGCTTCGAACACATTTCAACGCTTTTGCGAAGTCGCTCCTGGCAGCCACTCCCGGGTTTCTCAGAGCAGCCGCGAGTGCTCCAAGAACGACCCGCCCCAGATTGCGCATCTCTTTCCCTTGTCATTGGGTGGTAGAACGATATGCTTTGTTTGGTACTGCCAGCCCAGGGTAAGGCGCAATCGAAGCCCAAGCGCTGTCGAACTCCTTCAATCGGTGATGCTTCTTCAAGAAGCCCTGAATCCACTCCATCATGTGCTTCAACATCCCCAGGTAGATATTGTGCAATATGTCCGGTTTATTGAGATCGTACAGATTAACCCTCGGCATACCCCAGAAAGCATTGAAGAGTGTCTTTACTGATCTCGCGACAAGGTATTCCACCGGTCCCAGGTTTCCCGGTTTCTCCCTGAATAGCTTTACCCTCTCCCGGTAATCCTCGTGATCGCGCGTAGGGCTCCGGCGAGTGCTCCCAAGACTGTGGAATTCCACCTCGCATCTTGGGCAAGCACTAGTGCTAATGTTTTGCAAGTTTGAATGCTCGGGTTGGTCAGCGATCCAGCCCGAGAGCACCGGAAAGCATAGTCGTTCGTAGCCATCGGCGCATTTGATTAACTCGCCCTTCTGAGAGCACTCGCGAATGCTTTGAAAGATCTCCCCAAGAGCGCGGTGCAGCGCCATTTGACTCTGACGTCGTAAAACGGAGTTAGCGAGTGTTGTATTCTTCCCGAGCTTCGGTGCCACAGGTAGAAGCCCTAGGAGAATGAATGAATGCCCTATGGGCTTGTTGCGCACCGACGAGTTGATGTTCCCGATGGTAAGATAGATTGGCCAGGCTTTCTTGTCCCCGCTAAAATTTGTCAGATGTGTGCCATCCGATGCTCAGATAATTGGTACGACAGTGGACCCCTCCGGTAACGTATTCTATCGAGAAAGCATTAGCGACATCTCCTGGAGTACTCGGAGTTCAAGTTGAGAGGGCGACGCCTACGGACCTGTATCTCCCACCACCAATCTCCTGTATGCATTTCCCCGTACATTCGCTCGCCGAATTCATTATGCTCCACCACCGGCGAGTACACCAATGACTCCCGGAAGGCACGTTGCCCCAAAAGATATCGGACGACTACCATTGGATCCCGGTAGTAGTAAGAGATCTTCTCCCCCCCAATATTCACCTCCGAATGATTCCAGCTCGACTTTCCCAATATGTCGTTCATTTCCTCCAGCCTCTTGATAAAACCTCGCCCAGTGCTGTAGGAGCACTCGTCACTGCTTGGCGGAGCGTGTAGAAAGAAGCTGTCGATGTTTCCCTGGGAGGCTTTGGACAGTACGAAATACCTTGCCATTCTGAACTCGTATGCTGACCTGAATGGGTGCCATGGGTATCGGAGAAGGCTCTGTGAGCATTCGTCGTAGTCCTCCGAGCGGTAAAGTGGTTCCCCAGCACCCTCATAAACTGTTGTAGATGCCTTATGTCCATTTAAATCGCCGTCTGCCTCTTCCATCACGAAATATGATCCAGATTCTAGGTCCGAATTGTTACCGGAATCTTGGTCAAAACTATCCGACTCCGAAGCGTAATGCGTGTCTGAATAGCAGTCGGGGATGCTCTCTGGGCTTTCATCAGTGTCGTCGGGAGTCTCCGCAGGTTGATCGTGCTCCAGGAGCGAATATTGGTTTCCCAACCATTCATCTGCTTCCAGAGGATGGATCGTTCGAAGATGTCTGTCAAAGTTGGCTGAGGAGCTGTACTTCTTGCTGCAAAAAGGGCAAGACGATTTCATTGAATTCGAGAATTTGCAGTCTGCCAAGGCTGAGGAGGCTCTTTCCTGCAGTGCAGAGTGCTCTAATAGCAATTAGTCACCACATGAGGCTCTCGCTGCCAAGCGGTTGTGCAGAGTGCTCTACAAGCGATTTGTCACCCCATGCGGAGTGCTCGCTATAGAGCGCTCGCCAAATGATTGTGAGCCTTGCGCTCGCACCTCCACCATAGCGAGGCAAATCTTGACGTCATACATCTCCAACCGAATAATGCAAACACAAACCCCAACACAAATACAACAGGAAGAAACAACAATCACCACAATCAGGCCGCCAGCGATGCTACGTTCTACCCTCTGAGCACTCGCACACTCTCTGTGAGCACTCGCGGATGCTATTCAGATCGAGAGACTATTCTCAGCGCCAAATTCAACACCAATATCGACTACGATCTCAAAGGATAGATTCTCTCCGACTCAGCTTCCTAGCGCACAGAGCACCGATACCAACAAGAACACAAACAACAACCCAACACCGGAATGCTGCCGACACCACTATCGATGCTACCATCAGAGCATCCTCGAGTACGCCTAGAGCATTCATCTACGTCATTTCAAATTGAATCAAACCACCAGAGCATTTTCGAGTGCGCCTAGAGCATTCATCTACGTCATCTATGGGAGCAAACATTCAGCACGGTAGGAGCACCCGAGGGTGCTCATACAGCACCCTCGAGTGCTCCTATAGCAATCTCGAGTGCTCGTATAGCATATGGTGGTGCTCTGGGAAGGACGATGATGAGTCTGGTAAAGCTGATTGTACTCGGTATAAGAGCACCCTTCTCCTCCTTCCAGTTCGTGAGATATTCCTAACCATCTTGAATTTCAAGTCCAGCACTACCTATCACTTCAAGCGCTCTGCTATCTAAGCTTTCAAGATTACCTCTTGAAAGCGCATTCAAGTCTCGTTTCAAGTTCAAGCTTTCAAGTTTCGTTTCAAGTTCAAGCTTTCAAGCTATACACTTTGCAATCATATATAAGATGGTATATCTTCCTTAACCCGATTGCTTTCTGAACCATATTCATCACACATTTACAATAGACTCCAAACTCCTCTCAGAGCACTCCCAAGCGCTCACAGAATATCGAAAAACCTCACAAAAGTCGAAAGAGGCGCCATCGAGATCAAGATTCAGACGAATCCAGTATTGATAATATTGGCAGTAGTAGCAGCAGTAGCAGTAGTACCTACAAACGCTCCCGCCGAAAACACAAGAAGCATAGATCTTCCCGTTCCTCACGTCGAAAGTCGCGGAAAACTCTAGAGGCTATCCCGGAAGAGATAGCAGAGACATCCTCGGAGCACTCGCCAGTGCTTTCAAGTCCCCCGCAGCTCCCACCACCTCCCCCTCAGCACTCGCAAGCGCCTCCTAGCGTTGCCCCCCTCAGCCAGAGCCCTAAAAACGCTGAAGGACTCTTCCCAAAGCAGTGGATATCATTGCAATCTGATTCTGACTCCAACGGCGAAGGCTCAGCAGCAGGCCCAGCAACACACTCAGCAAAGCGCCAAGCAGCACGCCCAGCAGCAGGCCCAGCAGGCCCAGCAGCACGCCCAGCAGCACGCTCAGCAACACGCCCAGCAGCAAGCCCAGCAGGCCCATCAGCAAGCCCAGCAGCAAGCCCAGCAGCAAGCCCAGCAGCAAGCCTGGCAGCAAGCTCGGCACCCCGAAGAAGAAGAAGACGGGCACTTTTACGAGTCCCCAGTGATTCCCCAGAACTCGGGAGCTCACCGCCACCACCACCAGCCCCTGTCCGTAGAGCCGTGCTTCCAGTTCGTTCCACTGCTCCAGCAGCAACCGTCAGTGCTTCACAGAGAGCACCAAAGACAGCAACCCGACCCCCTCGCCGGCTACCAATACAGAGTTCAGTTGCTGGCCCCTCCAGAGCATTAGACACTCCTTCACCGGTAGAGCAGAGACGAAGCAGCAGAGCCCGTGCCCCAGAAACACCCCGAGTGCTCAGGTAGGATACACGAGTGCTCCGGAAGCATCTCCCACCGCTCAAGGTCAATTCAGAATGACTCAGGCGAATAAAGCAAAAATGACTTTAGGTTTGCTCAACCTACCTAAAGTGTACACTAACATCCGCAACAGCCTCAAAGCGCAGATACAGAACGTCAGTTGGGTTAATAAAAGCGTTTCCGGGGCAGCAGCGTTCGATGCTCTATGCCTGTATTTGATGAACTTACGCTCCCTCCGCGCTTTCCTGCCTATTTGGACAGGAGTCGATTCCGAAGCCCGTAGAGCACTCGCAGACGCTTTGAAGTGGCTGATTGGTGATGTTGGACAGAAGGAATAGCTATCGAGAGGGCAGGGAAATCGCGAGTACAGAGAAGCTGCCGGCGATAGTGATGATGATGACGACGGTGGACAGCCCGCCCAACGCTCTAGGAAGCGTAAACGGGATCCAGTGTCCGCAGATCTCGATAGACCTTCCATAATGGTCACGGTGGTAGACCCCGATGCTCTAGGAGCATTCTTCAGCGTTGTCCCGCCTCCTACCTATGACTGGAACGATCCGCAAAATGAGCCTTCGTTCATTGGAATTCTGACAAAGATAACGTTTCCAGAGCTCTGCAATTTGATCCTGAAGCACACCGCACCTGGCAGAGCAATCAGGAGTATCTGGGGAGCACTGGATAACGTTCCACCGGCATCCAATCCACCTGTTCGGCCAATGGAGGTCCAAATCACTGATTCGGAAGAGGTCGAAGGTTGGTTGAAGAATAGCGTTGGCAGGCCTAGGAGAATACTGGCGGTGCTCCACAGAGCAGGCGCGGGTGCTAATTTGGGTGGCGCTGAATCACCCCCGCTGAACCGGGCATTCCCTCATATCAAAGAAGACGATTATACCATGATCGATATTCCTGCAGAGGACTCTGATTACGAGGAGGGAAGCCACCGCATCAATGCTAAAGGACTGAGGGTATATTTACCCAGAACTGATGCCAGTAATCAAAGGCTAATCCAGACTCTTGTTAGACGTCGAGATAGACAGCAGGATGCTATCGACGACTTAGACCCCAAATACCTGAGGAAATATCCTTTGGGTGTTGGGGTTGCTGACCCGAACTTTGTACAGGGAGTAATCTGGACGCCTGCCGGGATAGCAGCCAAGAGGGCTGCTGACGCACTCGCGGCTGCTGGTGGTGGAGGCGGTGGTGGAGGCGGTGGTGGTGGTGGAGGCGGTGGTGGTGGTGGAGGCGGTGGTGGTGGTGGAGGCGGTGGCGGTGGTGGTGGTAATCCTTCTCCGGGCGGACCTCCGGGCGGTGCTAATCCTCCTCCGGGCGGACCTCCGGGCGGTGGTAATCCTCCTCCGGGCGGACCTCCGGGCGGTGGTGGTGGTGGTGGTGGTGGCGGCGGTGGTGGTGATGGCGGGCATCATTAGTTTTCTTTGGTATAATCTCGCGTCTGTCTTTCTGCTCAACGAATGCTTACCTCTGGATAGGGGTTTGTATTGTTTTCTGAGCACTTGCGAGTGCTATTGGCATCATTACTCTTCTTTGGTATAATCTCTCGTCTCTCTTTCTGCTCAACGATCGCTTACCTCTGAATAGCGGTATGTCTTGTTTTCTGAGCACTGGCCAGTGCTCCTGGGATTTGGTTCGGTGCTATTTGATGTCTGGATCTCTTTATATGAATAGATGGGTTTCATCGTTTTATATTTTCTTATATTAGATTAGATTAGATTAGATTTGATTACGTTCTTCCATTTCTTCTTAATTGAATTGCAATCGGCTCAAACTTCTACATTGCTATCAGAGCACTCGTTATCGCTTTAGAAAGTGCAGTAAAACGAGTGATTAGAAATGACTCGGATGCGGGTGAGCGGACCGGGATGCGGTGGAGCGGATCGATACCATAGGAGGTTAGCGGTGAAAATTCTTCTCGCTTGGCGACGAAAACTCTGTCGCCAAGCGTTCATTTCTGATCAAAACACGCAGAAGAATGCTCATAGAGCACATTGGATACTCCTGCCAGCAAGCAGAATGCCTCTCAACAAGCGATCCGCAGGTTCTACACCTCTTTCCACAAAGCGACCACGACTCCCAGTACCACCCGAAGAGCATGATGATTCACAGACTGACGGGTCTGAAATACCATTCCGAGCATTGACCGCACTGTCAACTAACACTCGGAGTAGTTAATCGACCAGAACTCGGAGCAGTCAGTCGACCACCGCCCCAATAGTGCGTAAAGGGCTTCTCCGTTCTACCGACACATCGACTGGAAGAAGCAGCCCTAGAAGGGTAGAATTCCATCTCCCCGATGGCAATACTGGCAGCGTTGAAGTGCAAGAGGTGGAGGAAACCGCCGATACCAGCCACTCGGAGTACGACGACTCCTCAGAGAACGCCCAGGAGAGCTCTGAAGAGAATCTGGATGACGTGGAAGAAGAATCTCAAGCTTCCACCCAGCAGAGATCCCAGAGTACGGGGAAGAGGCCTCGTACAGTACAGCCGACTACTGCCAGAGCACTGGGCAATGCTCGGAGGAGACCAACCGGAGCGGTAGCGGAGGTTATTGCTTCCTCCGACGTGTCGGTGGATGTGGTACAGGTTCGACTCCATCCCAGTCATTAATGTTAAGGTCAAAACGCTAACGTTTCAGAGGGGAGCACGTCCGGGTGCAAATGTAGTACGGAGAGCAGCTCCCACTTCGGCACCCAGACAGAACGCATCCCAGTGGGCGCCCACCACATCCTACAAACCCACTCCGGCACCCAGCCAGGAAGCATCTCAAAGATCATCCCCGGCATCTCAGGGGGCATTCTCGGCATCTCAGAGAGCACATCCGATATCCTCACAGCCCATGCCTTCTTCTATACCTGTTTATTCTCGCGATATTGACTACAGCTCTTCTTCACGGCACATCGATTTTTCCTCGATTCGTTCGAGGTACGGCGATTCCTCACCCATTTACCGCCCTTATCGTGCCTCCCCGCCTCTTGAGGGCGTTGGCGAGAGCTCTATGAGCAGTCCCCGGATTCCCTCAAGCCCTCAGGTATATTTACCAGAAGCGCAACCAAGAGTCTACGATATTGCACAGCTTTCGTCGTCAATTAGGGAAGGAAATGCTCCTATAGCAGAAAGCGAGGTTAGTAGTATTCCCGATAGCACTGACGACCGCTTTGAGAGCACAGTTAACATTCATGCGAGCAACCTATCACAGAGATCCCTATTACCTAGCTCGAGGAGTGCAAACGTTCTCTCAATGCAAGCCCAGAGGATTGAGAAGGAGTGCAGCACGCTAATCGGGGACCACACTCTTCTACATGAGCCTTTTCCACCTGCAGCGAGGCTTTCGGTCCTGGTAGTAAACATGTGGGCAGCTGCCAGTCGCAGGGTGGGATGTACGGTAGATCTCGACGAGGTTGTTATCAAACAGGTGAATGCTCTTGAAACGTTGACGAGTGCTCTGGAAGCATAATTGACAACGATAGGTCAGAAGGCTACACTCCCGAGTGCGTTCGCACTTGATGCACGAGGTTAAAGGGCGCCTGGCGGATTCGACCATCTATGGGCTTGGAAAGCTCTCGAGTCCTGAGGCGAAGGCTACTCAAGTAGAGTATCTTTTGAAGAATGATCGCTTCTTGAGTCCTGCGCAGCATTATGAGGTATGATCAATCCCCAGAGAGCATCCGGGGGTGCTAATAGAGCACTCGGGTGTTAATGCTCGGAGAGCACCCGGACACCCGGAATGCTTGGAGAGCATTCGCGAACGCTGCTAACAGATACTAGACCTACCGTCTACGGTTTCTTGCACCAGAGATTATCGACATATTGTACTATAAATACTTTGATGGGGTCAGGATGCGAGGGGTAAAAGACCCCGAGTTCCTTGAGCGGATTACCCCTACCTTTATTTGCCTGATATCGACTGCTATTTGGCATGGCATTCGGGCATGGTCAGCTGGAACATACGTGAAGCCTGACCATTTCCAGTCACAGAATGAGAGTGTTGTTAGTAAGCATCCCCGATCCTCTCACATCCCCTTACAGCTATAGCGAGTGCTTTGAGAGCAGTGACGGGCGCTCCCAGGGCTATAGTGTATCTCCACGCTGACATTGAATACGAGTAGAAACGTTCAACAGGATGAGCAACACATGGAAGGGGAGGAGTAGGCAGAACCAGGAGGCAACGTTGGAGGTGATCAAGGATAACCTCCGGGAAAAGGTGTGCTATAAGGATGGATGCTACAATGGTGGGGTGCTTTTCTACAAACGGAGGCTAACCTTGATAGATCCGAGAGAAGAAGGGCATCACTATCGAGGTGATACCCGAAGATCGATTCAGCGAGGACGATGAAGCGTTAGCGGCGGATCTTGCAGCATTCCGGAATGCTCGAAGAGCACCCCCGAATGCTCCAGGGGATATCTCTGGTTCCGACAACGGTAACGGCCAGGAAGAGGTGGTTCACGCTCAACTTCGGGGCATTGAAGCGGAAGATGAAGGCGAGGGGAGGGATGAAGAGGAGGATCGCGAGGAAGGCGAGGAGGAAGATGATCTATAGCGCACTGGCGAGTGCTTTGGAGAGCAGCGGCGAGTGCTTTGGGGAGATACCTATATACCTGTGTTATATCCGATTGGCGATTTCTAGACGTTTGTAGTGTTAGTATTTAGTAATAGAATTATGGTTCTGGATGCTCTGCAAAGCAGTGCCTACTAAAGCAAACAGTAATATGCCTGATAAAAACAGGGCGCTGAAAGGTAAAATGCGGTGCGTCGGGCGTCGCGGGAGCAGTCGGGAGTGCTCCAGAAACATTAGCGATATGCCCAGGAGTCGTCAGAGAGCTCCAGGAGCGCCCAGGAGATAGGTAGTAGTCTCAGGCGAGAGAGCATTCCGTCGCGTGAGAGTCAGGCGAGAGAGCATTCCGTCGGGAGAGAGTCACGCAAGAGAGCCTTTAGTCGGGATAGCGTCAGGCGAGAGAGCATTCTGTCGGGATAGCGTCAGGAGTAAAAGCATTCCGTCGCGAGAGCGTCCGGGAAGGAGTACACCTCCTGGATAGCGTCAGGCGCGAGCTCACCCCGTCAGGGTGAGCGTATTGCTCTCGGGACGCACTAGCTGCACTAGTGCGCGCCTGGGCGCGCAGGGTAAACTGGTGCTCGCCAAAGCGGAACGCTATGCGCCAGGAGGCGCCAGGAACGTTCCTTGCTTCTCTGGAGAGGCAGTTTGTCTACCGAGCGCCCAGTGCGCCTGGAGCGTCCAGAGCGTCTGGCGGAGGTTACGGGTTTGCTGATGTCAGCGTAAAACAGTTTGTCAGAAAATCACGGACCAGCGTAGAAACTGGGTCCGAAGTGATTGGCAACCCCGAAGAGGAATGGAATCAGTTGGATCAGTGGTACGACATACCGAGCGTAGAGCTGCCTCAGCCACTACAGGGTTGGTATGAACAGGAAAGACGATGGGTTCGGAGGATGGTTCCGGATGAACACCTCCCTGACTCAAACCTTGAGATCTTTGGACCACCGGAGGCTGCTGTCGTAAAAGTAGAGCCTGCCGCGGAATGGAGTCCCGATTCGAATGACCCCACCCACGATGGTCGATGGGTAGTACCGGGCTACGCGGTCAAGCAGGTCATTGAGGAACATCAAGATCGACCCGTAGCGGGGCATCTAGGAAGGGATAAAACCCTTGAGTTGATCGATAGGAACTACTGGTGGCCAGGAATGTCCACGGATGTAGCCAACTTCGTCAAGACTTGCGATGTATGCCAGAGAGCCAAGCAACGTTGGAGACACTTGTCACTCCCTCAACCCCTAGAGTTAGCCACCACACCTTGGACTGATATCTCGATGGATTTCGTAGTGGAAATGCCTAAGGAGAAATCAGGATTCCGCAACGTATTGGTAGTTGTGGACCGTTTTACGAAGATGGCCCACTTCATTCCAATGACGGGAATCAATGCGGAACAGACCGCTAGCGTGTTTGTCAAGGACATTTGGCGTTTCCACGGACTTCCTAGGAGCATCGTCTCAGATAGAGGAACGCAGTTCGTGTCAGCATTCTGGACGGCAATCACGGAAAGATTGGGGATTCGCAGGAGACTCTCCACCTCATTCCATCCACAGACCGATTGCCAAACAGAACGAACCAACCAGCACATGGAAGGTTATATCCGGGCATATACGGCAGGAACAGGCAAGAAATGGAAGGATCTGTTACCTATCTGCGAATACGCCTACAATAATGCGAAGCACATGTCGACGGGACAATCGCCGTTCTACTGCAATTATGGCTTCCACCCCCGAACGGACTGGCCTACGGATGCAGAGATCGAACGATTAGATGCCACGGGAAACAACTACTTGGACGAGATCATCACGGCTCACGAGTTAGTGAGAGACACGCTACAGAAGACTTTCGACAGGATGGCGTCAAAGCCAGGACCAGCAGCACAGCGGTTCACTATCGGTCAGAAGGTCTTGCTGGATACTCGGAACCTAGGAGGATACTCCAAGTGGTCAGACAAGTTCACAGGACCATTTACAGTTTCAGCAGTGGTGGGCAATCGGGCTTACCGTCTCGAACTTCCGGTAGAATGGAAGGTTCACGACGTTTGTCACGAGATGCTGCTGCGACCCTATCGCGAGGACCCAGATCCCACCAGAAAACAGAATACACGAAAGCGACTGGCTACACCCGAGCCACAGGAGGCATTGGCAGATGAGAATTTCCAGCCAACCTCGAACATACGACCCCATACTCGAAGCCAAGGCCCAGCGATCGATAATGACCGGGCTCACAAGCGACAACGGAACAGGCGGGACTAAGCTCGATACCTTTCCCTACTCTATGACTTTTCCCACAGGGTTTTTATCATAGAAGGGTTTTAACGGTCGAGGGCGACGTCTAGGAAGGGGGAGTAGTGTTACAGGAATTACGGAACACTGTTCTAAAAGGCTTAGGACAGTGAGGAATACGAGTGACGGGTTGTGATGCGGGGACGGTCGGGTAACGGAAGGACAAGCATAGAAAGGTATCGGGTAGTGTGGGGGCACGCGGTGTTACCACACTAGCACTATACTATTATGACGGCACGCTTACTATTGGGTGTCTCACCCGGAATAGAATAGGAAGTGGGGCTTACGGCTGTGGGCTGTTCTACTTAGGGAAGTAGGTCTAGGATAATAGTATGGTACAGCCCGATGACTGGCAATTGCAAGGTTCATGGTTACGTGTCGGGATTAGAATGGAGGACGGAACTACGAGGGGGCGCTTTTCTATCTGGGTTATCTTTGGGAGCATTATCTTATTCTATTATCGTCGTATCAGTTAGTATTAGAAAGCGGGCCTTGGCATAGGTTCCAACATGTATAAATAGGGCAGGATTCTGCGAAGACTTGAGGGTATCATCAACCACCAAGTCAAGGGAATCCGGTTTACAATATCATCAGTTTAAACGCTACAGAATTGTCGCTTAGCACTGGCCATTTCCCCAAACAAGTATGCTCCCAGAGCCACGATAATATCAAGTGGCTCCTTATCCTTAGCTACGATACACATTTTAGATTTGTCTGGTGAAGCTGGCGACGACTGGCCTAATGCGCCTTGGAGGCACGCTTCACTACCGAGGGCTAGTTTAATACGGGCTTGGAGACAGAATGCGAGATGATTTCCGCCGAGATGGTTTCGAGATATGGACAAGTGTTCTCCGCTTTTACACTGTTACTTTCCTCACTCAAGGTCACTTAGTTAAAAAAGTGACACTCACCTTCGATTCTGTTTTTTGCAAAGCTCCCGATGAATTATCCTGGAGATCCCGCAGCTTCTAGAGGTCATAAGACTCCAAGGTACTTTTCTAATTCCTTTTCTCTTTTAAGAATACTTCGGCGATGTCCTGCACCCATTGGGTTGTCCGACCTGTAAAACTATGCATCCTGGCTAATCGCTGCAATGCTTTACGCATCGTCCTTTTCTGTGATGGTGTTGACACCTGTTGTCCACGCGATAGGCCTGACCCTTTTTGTATACATGCTCGCCACTTTGGTTCATAGTTGCGACCCAGGGACATAGACTGGTTTACCAGTTGCTGCTTGGCTGTATCGCCCGGCGTATCTTCTACCATTCTCCCCGGTTCATATAGTGGAGACAACGGAGGCGCTGTGGACAGTGCGGACGACTCAGATGAAGACGGCACAGGCGTTGCGAGCGGTAAAGAAGACGCGGGCTCTGTGGGAGCTGCGGGCGCTGCGGGCGGTGGAGACAATCTTACCCCATGTGCCTGCGCATGCAGGATGCAGGGCGGTATGCATTTCACGGAAACAAGACTCGCTAACCTCGGGGCTGTTCTGACGGAGCCAAAAAAGCGCCCTATCCACAAAGGATACGATTCGGGTGACCCAGTGAAAAGAGCACGGGCGGACTTATGGATCGGGTGATCCACTCATAAGTGGGAGCGGAAGATAACTATAGCACCCAGTTCAGAAGAAGTTTTTTTATGTCTGTCCTATTCAGAAGAATACTATCATAACGTATATATGACCCTAGCTAATAAGACTACTGAAGGGCCCCAATACAGGCTAACCTTACTGTTTAGACATCGTTTGAGAGCGTATTCTTTTACTTCTCTGCATGCTCTCATATATTTCTTCGTATGCAACCCACCTTCCATATTCCATTCCATTTTGACTCTGTAGGACTACCCGTGCTGCCGCCTTTGTGATCTCCAAGTCCTCCTTGATAAATTCTACAATTACAGCCAGAGCTATAACTTTAACTCCTAGAGCATAAAAGACTCTGCTATCGTCGCCTTCCTCCTCCATTTGAGTTTCAAGCGTTCTTCTGTGGTTGCCAGCGAAGCCTTCAAAGATAAGTGCGGCAAGGCTTGCGCTGGCTGTATCTACATCAGTAACTAATTCTTTTGAATGTTCTATAGATTCCAGAAAAACTATACCCTCCGCATAATACCCAGTAGGGGCAGAATCCACCTGTCTATTGAGCTGTTCACGCACAACATTCACTCTTCTTCCACTTCTCCTGCTGGTCTTGCCAGGCCTTCTAAAGGATGCCAATAGCGGGTTCTGTCCATAGTTTGAGATAATTTCCCGAATTCTGTTTCTATATCTGTCCTGCTCAATCCGCTCACTTACTGTATCTTCATCTATCTTTGACTTTAGCTCTGCTAATATAGGCCAACCATTCGAACAAGCTTCTCTCAATACTAGCAATTGATCATCCGACATCCAAATTCTACCCTGTGACTGGTAACATTCCTCCTCTGTTATATTCTCTGGAGATCCTAGGAGTAACGGTAAGTAAAAGAATAGTAGTACAAATGATTATTGGAGCCACCTTACGAGCTCCCTGAAACAATGGGTAGGGCGTGAATTATCTCACTCGTTTCAGTGAGCTGTGACTCCTCTTCCAGTTCCAATTCTTCCTCAATAACGTATTTCACCATGTACCCGTAGATCCCTAGATATCCGTGCGCGATTAGTAAAGTGAAACATGACCTTTCGTTATAGTAGTTGATATTCTCATTACCCATTCGCGATCCTCAAACCCTCAAC